AGGTATGATTTTGTATCATTGGTAATTCCATTAAAACTTACATGTTACTATTATTATTCTTATTAAAATTATAGGTATGATTTTGTATCATTGGTAATTCCATTAAAACTTACATGTTACTATTATTATTCTTATTAAAATTATAGGTATGATTTTGTATCATTGGTAATTCCATTAAAACTTACATGTTACTATTATTATTCTTATTAAAATTACAGCTATGATTTTGTATCATTGGTAATTCCATTAAAACTTACATGTTACTATTATTATTATTATTAAAATTATAGCTATGATTTTGTATCATTGGTAATTCCATTAAAACTTACATGTTACTATTATCATTATTATTAAAATTATAGCTATGATTTTGTATCATTGGTAATTCCATTAAAAACTTACATGTTACTATTATTATTATTATTATTAAAACAAGTACAAGAGCAGTGACAGAACTAATGAGTGTTATTTGTGCTTTTGTTTTATGACTATTAATGCATACTTGTTGCACAGTCCTATGGAATAATGTTTTTGGTAACCCGTTAAAGATGAATATTTCTGCAGACTTTTAATGATAGTGAATACCACATATACAGAGAATCTGTAAATTAACATGTGGTAATTTCTGACATGAGAAGGGTGACTTGAGCTGCACTCTGAAAATATACGTACATCCACAATTGTTAACACAGTGAAGTTGTGATGGTCCTATTGTTAGTGATGCCCCCCAACAAAAAATAACACAAACTGTTCAGAAATAATGTAGGATGGACATTAAAAACAAATTATAAGAATCAAAACAGTGATGTTAACTTATTTAAAACTTTTTACAAAAAATACCCGCAAATCAAAGATAATAATAGTAACATGTAAGTTTTTAATGGAATTACCAATGATACAAAATCATAGCTATAATAAAAACACTGAGGTTAGAGACATTAACTACAACATAATGTTTGACAGAAGTACCTGGATACTAAAAACACTGAGGTTAGAGACGCAATTCTGATGTACTACAGCACCTGTTATGGGTGCAATTCTGATGTACTACAGCACCTGTTATGGGTGCAATTGTGCACCAAGTACTGAAACATTTGAGTTTCTATCACGGACATTTACTCACCTGAACTTCTGTACCACAGTGCTGAATTATTCTTTGCATCTCCTCATGAACTAATTCGATACATCGTAGACTAGGCTCTTCAAGTCTTCTGATTTGTCGCTTTACAAGCAGCTCAAATGAAACTTCAGGTACAAAGAGTGCAGGTCGAGGACCCTAAGGAAAACCAGAATTAAAGATTAAAACATCTTCTGCATGTGCTAATGTTTTAGGGAAAGCCTCATATTTAAGAAACTTGTAGAATATTAAATCGAATGATGCCTTATTCAACAACCAAACCGTGATCATATTGCTGTGAAGAATTTCTTTTGTTAGTTTTTATAACTTTTCAATCTAATTATTATTATCTATGTTATTCCAAAAAATAATTTAAAGATGTTTTTAATGTAACCTAAATTACAAAATAAACCCACTGTGGCATTCCTGATAGCTGTAAGAATATCAAGGGTAGTAAGGCCTCCGAGAGGATCAATGGAATCTAATGTGCGTCCAAATGTCTCATGAAAAATATAGCAGATTCTAGCACCTCCACAAAGTTCTGTGGTTTCAATATTTTTTGCCGTACCTTCAATTGTCGAACAATATGCTGATGCAAACTTGGTGATGATTTGCAGAAGTGTTTGGCCCTATAACATCCAAAAGTACAAATAAAAACATTCATGATTCAATGCTTATGTAGAGTTTAGAACTATTACAACTACTGAAAGAGTAGATACATTTTAAATAATATGTATATAATTTTACAATTAAAATAATGTCAGAAGATCATGTTGCAGCAATGGCTTACCATACCACAAGTGAAATACTTCATTAATATTACAAAAAAAAGGTATAGTTTTAAAACACCAACATTTGAAATTCAAATTTTTTTTTTTCAATTTATAAAACACATACACACAAATGTCTTAAATAACCTTAAATAACTGTACACACATTCTAAATTCATCTAGCCACATCTACTAATGCCATACTTGTCATAAGGCATTAATAGTAGGGCTATTACATTTTTAACACTATATTCCTTATTTAGTCCCTTAGGGATTTTCACAAATTAAAAGAATGTATAATAACAGTATTCCACCCATACTATATTTGTCACATCGATGATACATTTTGTTCAATTCATAGCTTTTTAGGCAAGCTGGATACAACAAACATAACAGTGGTCAAAACACTATTTATATAAGTTATTTGATGCAATAAAAGTTGTTGTAATTTGAATGCCTCTTACATGCCGGCAAAGAATTATTATAATTATATTTGTCACGTGTTCCAAAACAGAGTTAAAATATAAAACACCTCTTATAATTATACCCTGATATATATACACACACACACACTTATTATAAGTGGACCAACTAATTAACAATAACGACAATTAAATAGTGAAGTGAAAGTGTGTTCAGGTTTGAAATATGAGTTAGTTAATGTGTCAATAGGAGCCTAACTGAGATACAATTATATTGTTAAGTATTCTATATTCAGTCATTTGACTTTATTAATTTGTAGAACATAATACCAATATCTAAAAACTATGTAGGAATTCTGATGTGCCACACAACTGGCTTGTCAGAATCATTGTTTGTGAAAACAAGGTACCCTTCAGGAAGTGACCAGTAATGATACACCACAGTAGGCACTTGGACAAACGAGATGGACTTTGGTCTTATAACACGAGCTCTACTTTACAAGCAACTGTTGTAACGAATTTAAGCACAATATTGTGTATCCTTGGGAGTGTTAGTGGGTTCACCATAAGAAAAATGTCACCACTAATCTTATCATGTCTACAAAAAACAAGTTCTTTTTAAACAATAGTATCTTGTTGTACATTATGTTGTAGTTAATGTCTCTAACCTCAGTGTTAACAGTATCTTGTTGTACATTATGTTGTAGTTAATGTCTCTAACCTCAGTGTTTTTAGTATCCAGGTACTTTTGTCATACATTATGTTGTAGTTAATGTCTCTAACCTCAGTGTTTTTAGTATCCAGGTACTTCTGTCAAACATTATGTTGTAGTTAATTTCTGATGTACTACAGCACCTGTTATGGGTGAAATTCTGATGTACTACAGCACCTGTTATGGATGAAATTCTGATGTACTACAGCACCTGTTATGGGTGGTATTAATTGCATTTATTATAGATAAATTATTACATTAGAATTAAATGCATTTATTATGTAAATTTTTGCATGATTAAAAGAATTGTTTGCATTTTAAGCTGCATGTAACAGACGGGTAACTATATAGTTTAAAAATTTTTTTGAAATAGATGTCAATACAGCAGTACCATTGAGTTAGTTGGTGGCAGGCACTAACGTAACAGTTGGGTAACTATATAAAGTTTAAAAAATTATTTAAAATGGATGTCAATATAGCAGTACCATTGAGTTAGCTGGTGGCAGGCACCAACTTAACAGACGGGTAACTATATAAAGTTTAAAAAATTATTTAAAATGGATGTCAATACAGCAGTACCATTGAGTTAGCTGGTGGCAGGCACCAACTTAACAGACGGGTAACTATATAAAGTTTAAAAAATTATTTAAAATGGATGTCAATATAGCAGTACCATTGAGTTAGCTGGTGGCAGGCACCAACTTAACAGACGGGTAACTATATAAAGTTTAAAAAATTGTTTAAAATAGATGACAATACAGCAGTACCATTGAGTTAGCTGGTGGCAGGCACCAACTTAACAGTTGGGTAACTATATAAAGTTTAAAAAATTGTTTAAAATAGATGACAATACAGCAGTACCATTGAGTTAGTTGGTGGCAGGCGCCGACGTAACAGATGGGTAACTACGTCTACAATCTTCTCATGAAGTTTTGGAAAACGTAACAGTTCTTGCTGAAAAAACAAATAAAAACAAATTAATACATTCACCTACATACATCAGAATGTTTTAAAAACAAATTAATATATCCCCTACATACATCAGAATGTTTTTCTAGATTTCAACAAACTGTTTCCCCAGCCATACCTATACTCAATCTTCTGTTCGAGGTCCTAACAAGTCTGAACAATCTACATTGGTTCTTCTGTTTGAGATCCTAACAAGTCTGAACGTTCTACACTCGATCTTCTGTTCAAGGTCCTAACAAGTCTGAACATTCTACACTCGATCTTCTGTTCAAGGTCCTAACAAGTCTGAACATTATACACTCGATCTTCTGTTCAAGGTCCTAACAAGTCTGAACATTTATACATTTGAGTTTTCATCTCAAGACTTAATCTAAGTAAATGTTTTTTGATAACTACCAACAATTGCAGGTCATATAATATGCAATCAAGATATTTTTTCCAACAGGTAGAAAAAACTAAAACAATTTGATAGCTAAAGATCAAAAACATAAAGCACTCTGGAATACCATTACATCTTTCAACGAGATCACTTTAAATTCAAGATCTTTCTAAAAACGTTTAAGAGCTAACAGCCAGATTTCAAGTATCCAAGATTACAAATATGCTGATATAAAATTCAAACCTAATATCAGAGTGCTGATTCCAAATAATATAGGTCAAAAGATGATGTTCAATTAATGTATGTAAATATCTTACCATTTATTCCTATCTTTTCTATAAAGAAAAAATTATAATTTAGATTTATTTCGTATTTTATGGCGGTTACGAGGTTAGTCAAATTGACTAAGTCCATGTAGTGTTAAAGAAAATAACATATAAAATATATAGTTTAACTGAAAAAACACAAAAACTTTTGATATTTTTTTAGGGGATTTTAGAGGTTATACAAATGAAATTTTAAAATTTTCAGAAAAAGAAAAGTATTTTTAATTTTAACATGAAAATTACTTTCCACTCAAAGCAGTCAACACTAACTCCATACATTCACAAACAAATCCTTAGGAAAAATACTTAATTAAAAAATCTAACTTTCTCTGTATGAAATACTTGTATTGTTTACTGAAAGCTTGCCACATTTTATGAAGATACATAAAACATAATAAAAGTTATAGTATGGAAACTAATAGTTACTTTGTGGTTACAAGGTAGGTCAAATTGACTGACCCCTTATGGAAAGAATTAATGTTTCTGAAGCCAGTATTCCCGAATCTATGCTCCTTAATTTCAATCAGTAATCCTAAACCATCTTTAATTTTCTAATTACTTAAAATCTATTACAGCTGTTATGGATGAAAACCATTTCAAACATTACTGATCCTTGGCCAAGGAGAAACTAGCTAGTTTCTCAGACTATACTAGTATCTTTACGGATGGCTCCAAGTCTACCAGTTTTACTTCATC